GACACTAAAAACCACAGAACACATAGAACCAGAAAGCGCTTTAATTGGCATAGAAACTTGTGTAGCCCAAATCAGGGGAAAGAAAGGTGCGGGAGGAAACAAGTCATGCGAGTATGTTTATCATTTTAGCGATGCGCCGCTTTGATGAAACAGGAGGGTATTCAGGATTTTTTTTATTTAATAAATTTATATTATAATGTACATAATATGTACCCCATATCGTGTTATGTGTGCAGTGTGTTAAAGAAATATAAAGCTTGGGTCAAGAAATAAAAAGCTTGATTTAACTTTAAACTTTAATAATAGTATAATAAAGAACTAATGTGATAAGACGTCATTTTGTCGCTCGCGGACAATTTATAAAACGAGCGACGAAGGAGCGAGTTTTGTAATAAACGAGTGCGACAAAAGGCCTTATGACATGAGCTATTTTATCTATTTTGCAAAAATTCTATAAAAAAAATAATGTTATACCTTATATTTAATTTGGTCAAATTTTACTTTAGACAGATGGTATCACAGTCATTGGTTTAAGTTAATGTCAAAATCGATTCGCCATGCCCTCCTTAATTTACTAATTTACAATAAGCGGCTTTTAATGTTAAAGAAGAAAAAAGGATTTTCTTTGGTGTTAAACAAAATTTATAAAGTTATAAAAATAGTATAACCAATATGCAAAATATTATTTTACTAGTATGCTGTTTAAAGTATAGCCAACCTATGAAATCAAAATTTTGGGTGGGGTAAAGTATCTCATTACAGCACCGAAAGCGGTGTGTAATGAAGTCATTATAAATATGAATATGAAATACATGTAGATAAAATATATGTATAGTACATAAAAACACAATTAGTGTCCTCTAAATAATGTCATTTTATTTAATATATGACGTTTAGTTGGTTTAACATTATGAGATATTTTTGTCAAATAGTTCACTCGAATGTCAATATATTTTTCTGAAACACCTTTAATTAATTTAACTAAATGGTTGGTGATATTGTTGTCAAATTGATGAATTTTCAGTGATATAAAAATGTCTTTGTTAATAAATTAGAATCTATCAAAATATAAATTACGGGCCGGGCAGCCCGGTTTCTGACGAATTATGTTCGAGGATGAGACCAAAATAAAAAATATTAATTGACTGTATTATTTTACTTACGAAAAAAATTAAACTTTATTTTTCTGTTTATAACTGGTAGCACACCCATTTACCACGCATTTGCCTATTTTTTACTTTAATAACACTTAATAAATCGATATGTGCACTCGACGGAAGCTCAAATACTAATGACGGCAAAAATACGAACGGGTCTAAATAAGGACTAGATTTAGGTAACACGCGCTTTGCCCTTATTCTGGTTCTATGTGTTCTGTGCTAAAAACATAGTGCGCTATAGACTTTATTTAATTTTGATTTATAATTTTACTTGTTTTGGAATTTAGACAATCGAAATAATCTTGTTAAGTTATAGAATTTTAACAATAATATATTTAACAACCTTCGATTTTTTTACGCATTTTTCACCCTACAATTTAGAGCACAGACCAATAAAATGCGTCATAATTTCCCCGTTAAGTTCGTCTTTCATTAAACCGGGAACTTTTTTATTTAACAAAGGGATATTCCAACGATTGTTTATTGGATAATCGCTAGTGTCGAACATTTAAATATCTTTAAGTATAACTTCATCATATGCGTCGTTACAGGTAAATTCATAAAGCAAACTATCGGTGTCGGTGTATAATAATTTTGCGTTGTCGTTGTTGAACTTAGATAAAACATAATCGTGATGAAAGTCATAGACGAAAACCTTGGATATATCGAGTATTGACATACCAATATATAAAGGCTTGTTGAAGCACAAATTAGTTTTACTTAATTCAACAGCAATAATATTATCCTTAAAAATCCGATTCTGAAGTCTGATTCCCATTTATTTACCAATTTCACTAATCTATGCTTACGTTTATTTTCCAGAGTCCTGCCGAAAAGGGCATTAACCATTAATATGAATAATTTTTTTTTCGAATTTATTTTTGGACATTTTTTTGCAAATTTATGTTTAAATCTATGTGGGATTTTAACCAGGGTGATTAATATTCCTAATCGTGTTTTCAATTATTTATAATTTATTTGTTCGGTCTGAAATGACTTTGATATTTGTTACCTATATACACAATATTTAATATTAATCTCTATATTTTATTTAAATGACGTAAACCCTGAGGATGACTATAATAGTCGAAAAAAGTCGGTTTTGAAAATAAAAAATTCTACAAGTAGGGAAGTGCCTTATTCATTTAGAAGAATCTCCTTAATATATAAACATACCACTGCTAAAATAAATTACATAATAAAACAAAAAGTGATTAATTAAATTTTTAATTTCGATGAATTTTGGTTAATTTTTGTCCGTGAGATAAAGCTTGCTTTAAATTTCGATAAAGAATGATATTCTTAGATTTGTTAGTAAAGGTGGTTGGTGGTTTGTAGGGAATGCAATCTTGGTATACCAAGATCTCGCACTAATTCTGCAAGATTAGTCTTGCACGAAAATCATGCGCGATCTCGCAAGATTTGCGAGATTAGGACGCAGCGCATTCCATGTATGTTTTGTCTTTTTTGAGAAGTCATTTTCAAAATAATGTATAGTTTTTTCAATAAATAATTCTTGTTTATGCTTTTTGCTTCAATATCTTGTTGATTATTCGTATATAATATTATATACCACTAGTGGTAAAATTTTAACAATACAATTTTTGACTTTTATACGAATGTTTTTTTCTTTGAAATTTTGTTCGAGGGGTTAATTTTTAAAACCACGAGCCGCTAGGCAAGTGGTTTTAAATTAATGCCACGAGCAAAATTTCCAAAGAAAAATCTTAAGTAAATAAAAATAAAAAAAAATTTCAGGGAAAATTTTATTACGAGTGGTATTCGGCAAGGCTGTTTCACGAATATTTTTTTTAATTTAGAATTAACTGCCCACATTTTTTATTTTGAAATTAGAAACGTCAACATTGAAAATTATTTTTCGTATAGCAACCAATTGGTTGGTCGTATAAACCTACCTAAATAGGTAGGTTATGCGTTTCTTGTTCGGGACCCTTTGGTGACTTAAAAATGATATTTACCAAAATCCTAGCTGCTCCTCTTTTCGAAATTTTTTGAAAAATCTTTTTTATGCATTATGTGTTATGCTAAAATCATGAATTTACGCTTTTGCATTATTAAAAATAATTGATTTTTGGCTAACCCTGTATATATCAAATGATGTGAACAGTATTAAAAAGTATTCTCTAAGTCTCCTAAATAATATACTCCAATTTTATAAAAATCGGTGTGCAAAAAAAAATCATGAATTTTCGAACAATTTCGAAAAGAGGAGCAGCTAGAACTTAAACTTCCTTTAGGCACACTGTTAAAACGTTAGAACGGACGAGCTAGCAGCGAAGCGCGCCGCGTACTGATCAAGCGCACAGCGGGACAAAAAAATTAATATCTCCGGAATGACATATGAAAGACAAATTTTTGAGTACATCTTATTAAACGGAAACGTTTGCCGCATATTATGACACAAGATTATTTTTTTTTCAGCGTGAAGAACACATACAAAATTCCAATTGTTTATAATAAATGTATGCAAAATTCTTTTATTTAAACAAATTAACCTTAATTAAATGATCATTATATAGTCTAAACATTTCTACAATAGTGTGTAAAATTTAATTCAATTATACAGAGTGGTCCCAGAGATTCTATTTTTTCAATTTTACCGTGCTCTAAAGTTTGGCAAAATTGTCAACCTTAATAACATTACCAAAAAAACGAATTTTAAAACAATTTTTTACTGTGACATATGAGTCATGCCTACTACAGAATAATGTGATTATTTTCAAAATCGGTGATTTCGTGAAATTTTCTGGTCCCACTTGACGTCCCACTTGACTCATCTTTTATCTTTTAGTTTTTAGTGCCTACTGCTTTCCAAGTTGGTGTAGTACCACGGTTTTTACTGATTTTAATCTTAAAAAATTCATGTCTTTTTGGACTAAAACTTCAACACCAATCTATAGATCAGTAAACTGTTGGTCTGGATATTCTCATAATCAAGAAAAATACTGGCAAACTAGGGCACGCGGTCTACAGAAAACCAACAAACACGGACCGCTAGGTCAACGCCCAATCTTACCATTACCCGTCACAACTGCAGTCAGTCATTAAGAAACTTTTCGCGCGATCCGAAAGGCTGGCGGATGATGACCACAAGAAACAAGAAGACCTGAAAATCCAAACGACGCTACAGCAAGACGGATTCTCCAAAACCATCATCAAAAAGGCTCATAGACCACGACGCCGGTTAAATACCACGGGTCAAAGGGACAACCGAGAGAATAGGCAAAGTTCCCAAAAAACATAACATTGATACCACATTTACTGCCCCAAGAAATATCGGTCAAATACTTCCAAACGCCAAACCAAAAATAGAGTTTGAGGCACAACGGGTGTACGAAATTCCTTGTAAGAATTGTGACGGAAGCTACGTGGGACAGACCAATAGACGTATCAACGTTCAACGCGAAGAACATCGCAACACAGTCTTGAAACAAGAAAAAACATCTTCCTTAGCTGAACACGTCCGAAAAACTTCCCATAAAATTGACTTTGAAAAAACAAGGCTAGCATCGAACAGGACCAAACGTACCATCCGTGAGGCCATTGAAATAGAAAAACGTCCAAAAAACCTCAACACAAGAGACGATACACAGAGACAACCAACTGCATGGAAACCAGCTCTTACAACCATCAAAACGCCACGCAGATTAACGAGATTAATGGAGCCGAACATAACACAGGTACAATCGCAGTCAATGACGGAGCAACAATACATATAACGACCGTGAAAACATATAGCAGAACATATATATAGTATTTCTTTTTTTTTTAACAATTTAACAGCTAAAATTTATATATATTAATTATTAAACAACATACCCTCTTGCTTCCTGTTGCCAATATGGAGCATATAATCCGCTAAATGCAGGAACAAAAGTAACTTCTCCCCTTTTAATAAGCTCAGCTTTTTCTGCTATTTCTTGAGCTTTAGAAAAGCTGGGTAAAATATTTAAATTATCCCTAAGCCAATTTAAAGCAGCACCTGCAATAGCTACAGAGCCCTCAAGAGCGTAAACAGCGGGTTGCTTCGGTCCAAGTTGATAGGCTACAGTTGTGATAAGACCATGTGTACTATTTACTTTTAAGTTCCCAGTATTGTATAGCAAAAAACAACCTGTTCCATATGTAGCCTTAGCCTAAAAACAGTGCTAAATAAACAAGTGCTTTCAAAATAGCATAACTTGATAAATATACATATACCCATATATACAGGGTGACAATTTTAAATCGAACAGCACTTCTTTAACTGATGACTATGTATATTTGGCGAAACACGTCAATTTACACATCAATGGGGACAACTGTTGAGCACCTACCCCTAAAATTTTAAATAGCAACTTCTATTTATTTCATCATTTTTGAAATCCTTATGTAATTCTAGATAAGTTATATTTGTTTTGCAAAAATTGAAGTGGTTATAACCTCACAAATGTATGGAATGTATTTAGTCTATAAATTAAAATACTGCTAGTTTTAATGGGGTTGCGCCGTAAAAGTGATAATAAAGATAATATAATTACTTTATTAATTGTTCAAAATGGTTTCTATTGTTTTGTAAGCACAAGTACAGCCGATATTTAAACTGTTCGTGGACGTTTTGAAGTGTCTCTGGTAAAAGGGCTACATACTTACAAAATCCTTTGTTGGAGTTGTTCAATTGAGTCCGGTTGGGTTTTGAATACAATGGATTTCAAATAACCCCATAGAAAGAAATCGAGCGGTGTCAGATCTGGTGACCTAGGTGGCCATTCAATGGGTCCCCTCCTCCCAATCCATTGCTCCGGATAATGATTATCCAACCACTCTCTTACTGGACGTACATAATGAGGAGGTGCTCCGTCCTGCTGAAAGTGTAGCAAATGTCCATCGACGTTTCTTTGATTTTCCACCCCATAAATTACACGAGGCTTAATTCTTCTGTCTAACATGTCTTCCGCATTCACCATTTAAATTTTCATCTATGAACAAAGGATCAATGATAGTATCGCCTAATATGCCCGCCCAAACATTAATTTTTTGAGGATATTTTGTATGCCCCTCTCTAATAATGTAAGGATTGAAGTCGCTCCAATAACGGCAGTTTTGTTTGTTCATCTTGCCATTTAAGTAGAAGGTGCACTCATACGTCTGTCCGGGTCATCATCCTCTAATTCTTGAGTAATGGGTGAAATTTATGAAGCTTCAATACTTTTTTAACATTCATGCGACAGCCCAGTTTGTTCTGCAGCTTGACGAAGCGACATAGTGGGAGCCATAGCAATTTGGCCAAGAACTTCAATCTGAGCGATCTCATTGACCAATCTTGGCCCATTCCTCTCAAATCCAGTTTCTTCAAATTTAGCTACTAAATCTCGGATGTACTTGTGTCTAAACATTTCTTTCTGGATGTCGATCATTAAATATGACAGCCGTTCTTGCGAAGCAACGGTTTTTCGCTAAATAAAAATCATTTCAACGCGTTCTGCAATAGTGTAAACCATTTTAAGAAAAGGATACAACACCCAACTATTATACAAATCAAATTAATAAATTTACACCGGGCGTACCAAATACGAACTGCACTTATCACTTCTAAATTATATCAGATATAACAAAATAAAAAAAATGCACAAAAAATTTGTTTTTAATAAAAAAATGTAAATAAAGGCATTTTAAACGTGGTTTCACACTAAATATTAAAATAAATGGCTGTGACGGCACAGTAAATGCAACCGTTTGAAAACTTGCATTATTTTAATTTGTGGATTAAAATTTAATACATTCCATACTTCGTGAGGTAATCCACTTTAATTTTGGTAAAAATAAATTAAAAAGAAATGTAACTTATCTAGAATTACATCAGGATTTCAAATATGGAGAAATAAATAGGGGTTGCTATTTAAAATTTTAGGGGTAGGTGCTCACAACAACAAATACCTCAACAGTTGTCCCCCTTGATATGTAAATTGACGTGTTTCGCCAAATGTTTATAGTGTCATCAGTTAAAGAAATATTAAGTGCTGTTCGTTTTAAAATTGTCACCCTGTATATATATACGAGCCCTGTCTCAGTGAAGTTGGCCCAACTAACAAAAATAGTTTTTTGAAGGTATTATACGGTACACGTTGTTTCAATTAAATAAAAAACGTTTATTTAATTTTGTACCGTTAAATTGTATTTTTAAAAAAATTAAGAAAAAACAATATTTTAAATAAATACATTTTAATTGGAAACTACCACTGCGTAACATCTCCTTTATGGCTTATTACTGCCTGTATACGTCTCGGCATGGTGTCAACCAATTTTTGACAATCATCCGGCGTAAAATTATTCCAAATTTCTTGCAGCTAGGCGAGCACGCAACTCTAAGACGGTTCTTGCGGGCTGTTCTCTGAGATTCTTTTTCATAATATGCCACAAAGTTTCTATAGGCGAAAGATCTGGACTACTAGATGTCCATTTTAAGTGAAATATTATTTTCTATCATCCAAGCTTTCACTTTTTTAGCCGTATGACACGCTGCACCAACTTGTTGGAAGATGCATTCAATATCATTTAAACGCGGTTTTAAGTTAATTTTTAGGACGTAAATATATTTATCAGCATGCATAATGCCCTCTACAAAGTGTAATTTACCGACCTCTTTAGCTGACATGGATCCCCAAATCATCACAGAGGCCGGTAACTTTATTTTTTTTAAGACAGTCATTGTGAAAGACTTCTGCCTTAGTTCTAATGACTCGGCTTCGATTATCACCAACGCAAACTTCAAATCTAGCTTCGTCACTCCATATAATTGTATCCCATTGATTTTGACAACAAGTCCTGTGCTCTTTTGCCCAGAGAAGTCTATTTTTCTTCTGTTTTTTGTCAATAAAGGTTTTTCCTTTACCTACGGATAGTAAAATTAAAAATAAATAAAAATCGTATACATTATAAGCAAACCTTGTAAGTTTTTGAGCAGCTCTATGACAGGTTGCTCTTGATAAACATTTACTCGTTGCCTGATTCCACAAAACTTTTAATTCTCCGTAATTAGCCCTACGATTTCTGGTTTCTGCGCCACAGATCCTGTAGTTTTGTGCAGTTTAATAATATTTCGCACTGTATATCATAACAAATTAACAGTTTCAGCGATTTGTGCAGCGGATTTTCTTTTCAAATGCAAGTGAATTATCACTTTTCCTATTTCTTCAGAAACAGCTTTTCCTCGGGACATTATTATTTGTCAACCACACCGAAAGCATAAATATAATGGAATGACACTACCGACTTGCTTACAATTATTTAAATGTCAAATATTATCATTACTTTTACCACAGCCGACTTGCATTAAAAAATCTGGCCATCCAAGTTAATGCATTTTTGTCGATTTTTTTGTATTGTACCCAACATCCAACAAAACTAAATAATATACATACACATATTTTTAAAAAAATTTACAACATGAAGATTGACCAAGAATCACATATGATAAAAAATTGTTGGCTTTTCATCGTATAAAATTACAAATTTTATATTTTGAGTGGTTGGACCAACTTCACTGAGACAGGGCTCGTATATATATATATATATATATATATATATATATATATATATAAAATTTGGCAACTATACATATAATATTCTTATATAACAAAAATATTATACGTACCAAATTTGTATGGTTACATACCTACACAATTTTTGTAAAAAATAATTTGTGTCTTAATTAATTAACGTAGAGCATTTTTTTATTTTTAAATTTCAGCCTTTTTGGGTAAAATTTGGTTTTTTTTCTGGTTGCAAAACTTCTTAAAAATTATTTTGAAACTTATATTTTTTAAAAACTAAATTTAAAATTGATTTGTCACATATTTTAAATTGAAAAAACCAAAAAAATGGCAAAATTATTCACAGTAAAATTGTATTTTTTTCATTGATTTATTTATAATATTTATAATATAATATATTTCATATACTGTATAAATTTACTATTTAAAATCAACAAAACTTTCAATACATAAAAGTAAATTTTGCCAATGGAAAGACAAATTATAAAATGTACGTAAGTGCATTATTCATCTATTTTTTAAAAACCAGCTTCTTTCTTTAACAAAAGCACCTGATGCTTTCAAAGAATATGTTACGGCTAAACACCGAAATTGGTTAGTCTTGACCAGGCGCGGGATGATTTTAGGGGCCTGGAAATAATTCCCTTACAGGGCTCTCACATGCCTTAGAGAAAGGGTTAAGGAACTAGTGGGGGTGTTGTGTTTGAGATTCAAATGTTACATCGCGTGCTGGGGCCGTCACTACTCACTAATAACCAGGGACTTGTAACGCATTTCTGTTACGATATCTTCTGTTACGGTTTCTTCATGTAAGGATCTAAATTAAATTAAATCGAAACATGCACCTCCGAAAATGATAACTAAACGTTTTGAAATTATACTTACTAGTACCAAACGAGTAACTAAATCTTGATAACGGTTAACAAAATTGTTATCGAAACTGTTTGTAACAAAAATTGCAGGTGCGCAACAACTACCGAAATACGGGATATTGAAACGAAACTGGGAAACTAACTGAGTAACGAAACTGTAACCAAACGGTAAATTTTAAAAACTTTTACAAAATGCGCATCAACACAAAGTTTTGGTTAAAATTCGTGATCCGTCTACTGGCTGTCAAGCTGTCATGCTGTCAAGTATTGGCATTGTCAAGAAAATTCATCTTGGGTAAAAATTTTAATAAACAAAATTATACAATTCCAGTAAGCACCAAACACTCGGCAAACAGTCGGCCTTCGCTCGGCATAGGCGGGTGACCGGCGGTTCGGCTTGCCCCAGCGGGCCCGCTTACGGCCCGCGTTATTATGTTACCCCGGTACCGTTTAGCCATGTTCTAACCGAAGTCGGCCAGAATACGGCATGCCGCTGCAAAATCCTTCGGATTGCCCTAGCCGGCCCGCTTACGGCTGGAATACAGCTGCTTACGCACGCGAGCTAATTATAAATAGCGATTGGTTGCAATATTTAGTTGGAAGTGTGCGTCCGTAATGGCATAGCTGAACATTAATTGTTTGGAGTCCCCATCTCCATCCTCATCTGCTCAGTAACGAATAATGTCTAGCTAGTCGAGTGTGTTAAAGAAGTATCTTGCCATTCAGAGAATT